ATTTCAATTTAGTTTACGTCTTCTTATTTAGCGCTAAAACTCGGCTATATAAACAAAACACACGCACATATACACAAAGTGGAGCTGAAAACTCTCTATTTCAGTTTTGTCTGACTATTACAAAACCGTTTTCTCCTTTCCGTCTCGAGGAAATGAAAAACTATTAAAGTCTCCGCTTTTCACGCACCAGGTAATTATGCTAGTTCACAAGCCCACCGTTGCATACAAATTAGCTCTGCAGTAAAAACCCCAAGGGAGCATCTTGACGTATTATTATTAAAACACAAAAAAACAATAACTTAACAAGGATCAAATAGTCAAAGAAGGCAAGCCATTCTTTTTTTACACTGCGCACAATGTTTTACTTACCCCTCTCCCTTTTCATTTTATTTCCCTCCTCCTCCTCCTCCACAATTTTATTATTTCCCTCTTCAATTGTTTATTCCCTCCTCCAAAATTTTATTATTTTCCCTCCTCAATGTTTTTATTCCCTCCTTCACAATTTTTATTACTTTCCCTCCTCAATGTTTTTATTCCCTCCCCCACAATTTTATTATTTTCTCTCCTCAATGTTTTTATTCCCTCCTCCACAATTTTATTATTTTCCCTCCTCATTCTTGAATTCCCTCCCTCTCCACAATATTAATCTTTCCTCCTCCTTCACAATCTTGATTTCCCTCCTCCTCCACAATTTTTTTTTGTTCTTCCTCCTCCACCTCTACCTCTTCATTTATTCTATTTATTTTTCCATCCACAAATACATCGACCTCCTATCGACCCTACATCGACCCTACATTGACCCCACATCGACCCTACACTCAACTTTTTTAACACAGCTTCATGAATAGTGGAACTATATACCACCACCACCACCGCCGCCACCACATTTCTATTGTTTTCACTCCTATTGTTCTCCTGCTAGAATGGTTATTTGAGTTTGACCTTTCTGGCCTGAGTTTGGCCTCTTAGGCCAGATTTTGGCTATTTTGGCCTGAGGTTGGCCTGTTTGGCAGGAAAACAACAGGAGGAGTGAGAACAATAGAAATGTGGTGGCGGTGGTGGTGGTGGTGGTGGTGGAGGAAAACAGTAGAAAGGTGGTAGTGGTGGTGATGGTGGGGGAAAACAATAAAAATGTGGTGGTGGTGGAGGGAAAACAATAGAGATGTGGTGGTGTTGGCATATAATTCCACTATTGGTGAAGCTGTGTTAAAAAAGTTGAGTGTAGGTCGATATGGGGTCGATGTGGGGTCGATGTAGGGTCGAAAGGAGGTCGATGTATTTGGGGATGGAAAGATATATAGAATAAATGAGGAGGTGGAGGTGGTGGAGGGAAAATAATAAAATTGTAGGGGAGGAGGGAAATCAAGATTGTGAAGGAGGAGGAAAGATTTATATTGTGGAGAGGGAGGGAATTCAAGAATGAGGAGGGAAAATAATAAAATTGTGGAGGAGGAGGAGGGAAATAAAAATGAAAAGGGAGAGGGGTAAGTAAAACATTGTGCGCAGTGTAAAAAAGGGATGGCTTGCCTTCTTTGACTATTTGAATAGGATCTTTTATCTAATCTTTTTGCAGTTATTTTAATAAAGGGTCAAAAAGTTGATTTCTTGTGTCTTAAGAAAAGTGCCTGGTTTTCTTGCTAGCAATTATTAGTCGCGTGTTTCAATTGATCCTTGTGAAGTTATTAATTTTTTTTTGTGTGGGTGTTTTTATAATAATACGTCAAGATGCTCCCTTGCGGTTCTTACTGCAGAGCTAATTTGTATGCAACGGTGGGCTTGTGAACTAGCATAATTATCTGACTAACGGCGCGTAAAACGCTGAGACTAATAGTTTTTCATTTCCTCGAGATAGAAAGGAGAAAACAATCTTGTAATTGTCGTCAGACAAAATTGAAATAGAGAGTTTTCAGCTCCACTTTGTGTATATGTGCGTGTGTTTTGTTTATATATCCGAGTTTTAGCGCTAAATAAGAAGGCGTAGACTAAACTGAAAAAAAGACTTTTCAACTCCTCTTTCTGTTTGTGTTTTGTTTATATATCTGAGTTTTAGCGCTAAATGAGATTTAGGAAGCCGTTTCTCGCGTTACTAGGTGATCGCTTCTCTTATTCCTATTTTTCTTTTCATAGACGGTCCGAAAACCGGACTCAAGTTAGTGAACGGGCAAGCCGAGGCAAGCTTATTGTGCCTATTGTAGTATTCGTTCATTAGTAAACCTATCCACTTAATTAATATATGGAGGAAGGCACTTAATTAGTATGGAGGAACGCACTTTTTTTCGAGGTTATAACAATGGGTGACGTCATGGACTATCCCCAAACTATTCTTACCTATCCACCAACGGGGCTTAATTTCCAACATAGTAGACTACTCGCAACAGAACCAGATCCCATTATTTTATCAAGCAACTCTTATTCTATAACTTTAGGTATTATTCTTTTAAACTATAAAAAACTTACCATTTAGGGACCATTCATTATTTATGCCAGGGGGGTGGGCTGCTAAGATCCATCAGAAAGCACAACAAAACTTTTTGACCCCTTCCAAGGAAAACTAAAAAAGGCATGACCCCTCTAAATGCCCTTTTAAAAACTGGCTACCCCCTCCCCCCACCCCCTTAAGAAAAATAATATGTATGTAAGAACAAAAATACAAAACGCAAGTTAAGATTATCGAGTGTTTGAACTAGTCTGCATCACTATATGGAACTGATCCTTTTCATCCCAGTGATATACTCTGCTCTCTCTCCTGTGCTGGAACTATAATAAATAGACAAGGAATATATCACAAACGGTTTTTTGGATTCAGAAAACAACGTATTCAGTCCTTGAGTCTACAGGAATATGCAGAAATGGAAGAGGAGCGAATGCGAAAAATGCCTGAAAAGTGGCCAATGACGGTCGCCGCAAAGGATCGATGACACGCCGGTTCTTTTCAATTTTTTTTTTTTGGTATCAGAAAAACCAAGTGAGAGTTTGTTTTTCATCCCAGAGTAAAGAGTATTGGTCAAAGATAAAGCGTTGATAAAAAACGCACCAGGCTTATAGATTCTTTCAAACAGTTTAGAAATCGACGCAAACATCTCTAGGCAAGAGCAAGAAGTATTGTCTTCTAGTAATTCTGTCGAAATAAGTGACTGCGAGCTTGACCTTGTTGTTGATCATTGCAGTAGTGGGAACTCCTCAGGCACCAAAACTAACGAGGAAGACCTCTGGACGTAGTATTGGGACATATCATTTGGTAGAAATTGTGACTGTTTTCTTTACTAGCTTAAAACCGCCAGTTATGAACTGTTAGCGTTTAGGAGGCGTGCAAACCATGTACCGTTAGTCCCGAGAGCACTAAAAGTATTTGTTTGAAAATAAAACAAAAATAAAAAATCAGGTAGCCCCACCCCCTCTTTGTGTGCAGATTTGTTGATGACCCCCCTCTGACTGTCCTGAATTTGACGTGGCCAACTCCTCATTCTTGCCAGCCCATCCCCTGGCATAAATAATGAATGGTCGCTTAATCTGAGGGAACCCGGATTGAAGAGAGTCGTTCAGCCGGCTCACTTGCACTACGATCACAGGCATGCCAAGCTTCACGAATACGTTTTATTGGCTTTGAAGGGAACGTACAAAATGTAGAAATTAATGAACTCTGCTCACTTCGACATGGGTTTGAAAGATCTTTACTTTCCTGTGTAACCTGGACTGCAGTTCAAGGACTTGGCACGTTTATTAAGAAAAATAGACAAGCCAGTTGAGGGAAAATGTCATATCTTATTCATATGACAGACACAGGGGCGTAGCCAGCCCAAAGACCGGTAGGCCCGGGCCTACAAATCTTTGGTTTGATCCCTCTACCGCTTGGAATAAGTTAATATGTGTTGTTGACTAGGGTTGAGCTAAAAAGCTTAATCAAAGTGCTGGTGAGGTCAGTGCGAACTATATCCGCGCAATGGTTTCCGCCTTTGCGGATTAATAAAGCAAAAGCGTAAAAGTTAAAGTAGTCATGCCTGCAATTATATATCAGGATGTATAGAAATGAAAGTCAGCCCGGCCTACAACTAGTCGAAAAGCTCGCTACACCGCTGAGACGTTTTTATCGGCAAAAACTACATCGAGTAATGATCACCGTTTGGATAAAAACGTCCCATTTTGGTTACACACTCTTTTTTCATATAAGAATGTTGTTTTTTTCGGGCCAGGCTGAATATTCTTATTTTTCTGCCGATTTTAGCCGAAAATATTCCTGTATTATTCTTGAATTATAATTGAAAAAGAAAGAATTTATCATATCCTTTTTTTTGCGGTTTGTATTTCATGTACCGTTCATCGAACTGTCATTAACACTGAACATTTGGCTATATAACCAATGCAGCTTTCTTCGTTTTGTTGGGTAGCTTTGCCGTGGGAGGAAGCAATAACTTGATACGGTTAAGTTAAAAACATACTTTTTAGATTTTCATCACTCGAAATAATCATCCTTATCGAAATCCCAGCCTCGGGTTTATTCTTAAAATATTCTTAAAATTTTGCAAATTTCAGCCTCGCTATTCTTATAAAATATATTCTTATAGAAAAAAAAGGAGTGTATATCTGTAATTCAGTTAAAACACAAGGTTTTGATCATGAAAACTTACATTTACTTTCAGTTTCAAGTACTTTCAGTTTCAGTAGTTCGTCTGTCATATGAATATATTAATAACATGACACTGAAAAATCCTACGTACTGTGATGGAACTTGATACGTAGTGAAAATCTAACTCAAAATCCATATCGAATCCTAACTAGAAAATCCAACTCGAATCCTAACTAGAAAATCTAATTAAAAAAACCAACTCAAAATCTTAGCTCGGCAATAGGTTTCCTCCTCTGCATGCTAATATAATGACAGACCCATGACAGTTCTTGAATCCATTGTTATAGCTAATTTCTTCCCATTTACTTCAACTCTTACTTTCATTACAATACCACCGTACCAGCATCCAAATAACGACGGCTCTTGTTTCTTTTCAGTACTTTGTCCAAGAGGTTGGCTTTCAGGTTTTCATGGCGGATGTTTCAAAGTCCATTACAATCCGCTGAACTGGACTTCAGCAAAATCCGCTTGTGAAGCACTGGGATCAAGCCTCGCCGTACTGAGTTCGAAAGCTAAATTACGAGAATTTCCTCAGTTGTTGAAGAGTGCAGGTGAAAGCACACGTTTGTGGATTGGTTTATACAGGGATCCTAAAAACGAGCGACGATGGTTGTGGGTCGATGGGTCAACCGCTTATTTCACTTCCTGGAGTACTGGAGAACCAAACAATGCTGGTTCAAACGAGGATTGTGTGGAAATGTGGCCAGGGAAATGGAAATGGTGGAATGATGTAGCATGTGGTTACCATTTTCCTTACATTTGTGAAATCAGTGGTAAGTACAACATCCTTCATGAACGTATATACAATTGATGGTTTGAAACTGGTTTTAAGCCCAGGGGGTACTCAACAAATGTTTATACGAGGAAGCTCCATCCCCGATTTTTCACGAAAAAGGTACCCCTTTCGTATACCTTCTATTGACAAATGGTACCTCTTTCACATCTGTTTAGAACTTTGCATCCCTTTTAACTGCTTTAAATGCACCGTCTTTTAAATACGAATCAATCACAAAAATTGTACGTTTTCTCGACTTGTCAAAGCCATAAAATTCATCTGTCCCCTTTGGGCCCTTTTACAGAACTGACCCAAATGACAGATTTCCTCACCCTTTCATATACTTCAACTGGTGAAATCCCTACCCTTTTGTATAGCTAAAGCCTGAAAAAGGTTCCCCTTTCGGGTGGAGCCTCCCCGTATAGGCCATTATAGGGAGTATGCTCTCCGAGGTTTTAAGACAAGACACAGGGCTTCAGGTCACCCATATTTATTCTGGCCTGGGATGTTATGATCTGGTTGTTGGGGTAAGTGATACTATCACCATGTAGGGTTGAGATACAGAGAGGAATACAAGATCACCGCGCTTTAATTGTAATACCTTTATAAAAGGAAGGAGGGTGTGCACTTTGGCAATTTGTAATAATCATCGCGCTTTGTATTATCTTTAACAAATAGATTCCGTGTTGCACAGGATCTGTTCAATAATAGATCACGGTGGTAAAAACAGCAAAGTGGCACATGCACGAGTCTCAGACGAATAAATCGCTGATGTTTTTACCACATTTTGACGCATTCTTTGATCTCAGTATTACTGAACAGACCCATTGCAACATGGAATCTGTTTGCTTTATACAAAGATCAGAAAAGAAAAAAACGACAAACTAATGCCTCGTACCGCTTGACTGTTCGAGGATTTGTGGACGTGTCAGCATTTTCGTAGTCACAAACTGTTCTTTTAGTCCAAGCTTCCTATTTTCCGATGTAATCTCACCACTATATAGTTTATCCCAAAAGTCTGTCAAGGCCTCCATTTGCACAAAGCAGAATAATCGTGGAGACATTTTGAAACTGTGAGTCTGTTGCAGCAATGCCATACGATGGCAACTCTTGTGAAGATTTCTTCCAGTTTAGGCATGTTCAAGTCGTCAAGACCTGTTTTTGTCTCGGTTTGTCCGTTTTTCCATCGGCCGTTTTTATACTAAGGACGCATTATCCGTCTGGACGAACTTGGGCAAACATTTTTGTAGTTTGTCTGTTTATGCGTCTTTAGCATAAAGACGGGCACAAGACGGATGCACTACGCGTCCAGACGAACTACCTTTCGTAGTGCGTCTTTCAAGACGTATTTCGAAGGAAAGTTCGTCCAGACGCATAATGTGTCTTGTGCCCGTCCGGACTTTAGACGCATAACCAGGCGAACTTCAAATGTTTGCCCAAGTTGGTAAAGACGGATAATGCGTCCTCTAGTATAAAAACGGCCAATCTTTAGTTATCACATTCTCTTGCCATTAGATTCACTTTTGAGGCTCTTTTATGACAGTTATCGTGACATATTGCCTCGTTGGTATCATCCGATTCCGTTTTTATTGTCGCACCATTCATAAAAATTATCGTGTCTCGTCTGCTTTGTTTGTTGCTATTTTCCAGGGGCTACCATAAATCTTTATAAGAAGCGCTATAAAGTGATATACATTCACTTAATGAGTTTACCACCACCATGGATGAACTAGGAATTACTGTTACTTACTGTTAATGTTAAAATGGAAAAAGAGTGGGTTCCACTAAAATATCAGCAACAGAAACTCAACGGATGAAGTTTTATTATACAGGTAATTTACTTTAGTGTTCAGAGAAACGACAGTTTTTTTTTTTTTTGCATCAACTCAGCTTCATGATGCAGCGAGACGACTTTACTTCGTTGCAGCGAATCGATTTCATTATGCAGCGAATTGTAGCGAAACGACTGTCCACCACTTAAAAACCCAACAGCTAGTGTCGATTTCTTATTATTATTATTATTATTATTATTATTTTCGCAACTGCAAAAGTTGCGTCTATAACTGCGATGATCTACTTTCATATAATTCTTCACCCCGCAGTTCACATATATGATTTTCATATATTCGTAACTTCATCATCATCCTTTCACGGGTTTATAACGAATCAATTCAATGACCTACTCCCAGTTGGCTTGTTAGCTCAATGAGTAAGAGCGCTGCACCGGTCTCGCAGTGGTCAAGGGTTCCAATCCCGTGCAAGTCTTTTTTTTTTTTTTTCAGGCTTTCTTTTCGCAACTGCAAAAGTTGCGTCTATAACTTCGATGATCTACTTTCATATAATTCCTTCACCCCGCAGTTCACATATTTTCGTACATTCATAACTTCAAAGGTGAGCTATCTTCGCTCTAATGTCTAATTAGGATCCCTACATGAAAATTTATTCTCGCAGTCTATTCGCCCCTGAATTTATCGCCGGACATAATTTTTTAAAAAAGTTATTAATAACGCTGCTCACACTACATTTCTTTACAACCATTGATGTTGTGTTTTGGCCTATAAAGTTACCACTTAGTTGAGCGGGAAAGAAATGAGTCCTCCCAACAGGAGTCGACCTTCTGGTGACTTTTCCAGATGCTCTACCACATGGGAAACTCTTAAGAGTCAAAAACATTAGACTGGGATCATTGAGGAGCCTGGTTTATTTGAAGAGGTTCTTTCAGGCCAGAGGTCCACCTCTTAATTTTACGTTTTGGAAGTATTGAGTGCGAGGAAAGGGGACAGGGGGTCCAAACCTCCCGTCTCCCGTACCTTGCATATCCGGCTTCCTCCCCTTCTTTTCTTAGCTTCTTCCCTTTAGCTATTTTCGATTGCGAAATATTAAGCATTGTTTAGTAATTTCCAACTATTTCTTTTGCCTCTGTTCCTTTTCTCTCCCGCCTCCCCCACCCCTTTCGCCCCTTTTCTCCCGTGTTCCAACCCCCCTATCCTTCACCACAAGTGTAGGCAGCCTAAAGATATTCGTAAAGGGAAACCGGGGAAGTGAACGGAAGCTGTAGACAGTCAGTGGATGGTGACATTTATTATATTCAGAAAGAATATAGCTGGAGCGGTCAGCCCTTAAATCTTTTTACGGTGAGAAATCAAGTTTACGAACTCCGTCGATAAAACTAACCCCCCCCCGCCCATACCTCTGCAGCGCCAAAGTTCCGGGTAACCATGCGATATTAAAAAAAGGCGTTTTTTTTTTCTCGAGGGAGCGCGAAAATCACCTAAAAGTCGCCTCCAAAGGAAAAAAAGGGGCAAGGACCGCCTTATCACAGGTTATATCCGAGTTAAAACTGCTCAACCAGGTCCTTAATTTCTAAGTTGTAAGTTAGAAACTGAGAAAAATCTTGTAGTGCTAATGTATCAAAAAGGTATAACGTAGGAAAGTACAGGCGCGCTTATTTTAAAACACTTCGAAATGACCGACGTGCATATTAAATCAGCAGTGCACGAAAAATTTCTAGATTAACACCAAATATTTGCTTGGGGCAAATATGATGCAAAGAAGTGCAAACTACAGTGTAGGAGGAAATCAGGGTGAGGGTAAATACCGCAATTGAATCCTAATTTACAAGATAGGGTTGCAAATTCAGGAGCAAATGCGGTATTTACCAACTTTGCGCCTAATTTCCTTCTAGTTTGTTCTTTTCAGTATTATGTTTGCCCGGAGCAAGTTTGGTGTAAATCTTATTTTATGCGCAGTGATGAAATATTTAGAAACTTGACCAGATTTTAAAATTCAAAGATGTATCTCAAATCTGAATTTAGTGCCTAATCTATAAGGATAATAGGGAATCAGCACAGTCATAAACTCAATTGAATAAATTACAATCCTGACCTCAATTTTTATATAATTATCTTTTATAGGTTGCCCTCATTATTGGACTCCACACCAATCTTCTTGCTATAAACTATCCTCTAATACCCTGGAATGGATCGCGGCAAAATTTGCGTGTGAAGCACTCGGATCTAATCTCACAATGTTGGATTCACCAGCTGAACAACGAGAAATTGTTTGGGGAAGCAGGACATGGATTGGTTTGCACCGTGACTCAAGCAATAAGTCACGCTGGCAATGGATTGATGGTTCGTTAGCGGTTTACCTAAACTTTGCTTCTGAGCAACCAGACAACTCGAAAGGCACTGAAGATTGCGTAGCAATGTATCCGTCAAAGAAATGGAATTACTTGAACTGTAATACTTCTCTTCATTATTCTTGTGAATTTTCCTCGGGTAGGTCACGTTATAAATAGTTTTAAATTCAAAGAAACGAATCTCAGATGTTTTCTGGCAATATTTTTTTTTAAAAAGAAAAGTCACGGTGGTGTAGAATGAAATAATAATAGGTCCTAAGGACTAGCCCAGTATTTTATATTAATATTTGATACTAACTAATGGCATGCACTTGTGTAGCGCATTTTACAGGGCTACTAGCAAGGGGGCTTACCTACCTATTTATATTTTCTACGCACACACACACACACAGACACAAGCAAACCCCTTTTTTGTCTCTAAGTCGCTGTTATTCGTCTGCGGTCATTGGCCTATAGCGCT